GTCATGTTTACTCTTTCTCTTTGCTGTATTTCCAGCGGTTTCATTGTCTCCGGTTTGCTGCTATTTTTAGGGGGTTTGGAGTTGTTTGTATGTGAATGTTTGGGTGTTTGTTGTTTTGTTGGGGGGGGGGGTTACTTTTCTTTTTTTTTCTCGAACAAACACCTCCTATCTGTGAACTCCACGTGCCGTGAAGACTAAAGATAGAATTTCTAATCATGACATTGCCCTCTGAAGCTATTTGTGTTGAAGATTATCAAAATAACAAAGGGAGCGTGGCTTTGTGTGTTCTTCCTCTTTTTCTTCTTCTTCTTTTTCGTCGTCTTCTTTTTAGTATTTTTCTAAAAACTATTACTATAATTATTACTAGCATCACCATCGTTATTATCATTATTATTATTGTTCTATTTGCCTTTCTCAGGGGGACATGGAGATGGACATATAGATGGTCACAGCGGGGGTCATGATGCCCACGTGAGTCTTGTCTTAAAATATTTCATGGGTTTTTTGCTTTTTTGGTTACCTTCTTTTATTTTTTCATCATCTGTTTCAATTAAACGTCATGGGGAGATACAGTTTTCTACGGTAGGCAAGCTCCGCAACTCTTTCAATTAGGATACTATAATTTCTCAGCGTTTCCTTAAGTCACTCAATCCACCTTTTGCTTGGCCTTCTTCTTCCTTTATAGTTACAGCCTGACTACTTGGTGTTATAGGCTCTCGTGGCTGGCTGGCTTGGTGACATTCGTAGCAGGTGGCCAAACCATTTTATTCTCTGTTTTGTTTGTTTGTTTATCAATACACATGTACGAAAACACACCACCAAACAAACAAACCAACAAATAAACGAATACATAAACAAATAAATAAACAAACAAAGCAACAAATAAACGAATACATAAACAAACAAATAATCAAACAAAGCAACAAACAGGGAGATTCAGGGTGCCTCTATCAATAACGTGCTAATATTCTCTGTATTTGAACAAGTGTAACTGTATTATATGTTTTAAGATCTACGCCCCCTTCGACACAGTATAGACAACCAAGGGGGCGGGTTACTTATGACCCTGCCTGTCAGGGCTACCCGAGCTGAGAAGGATACAACATCCCTGCCGACTGACTGAGTTACTCGATTAAAAAAACAACAAGAACCAAATAAACCCAAAACTCCTATGTTCGAGAATCGAACTCACGCTAATTGAACACGAAGCCGTAAAGCCCAACAAGCAACATCACAAACGTTGGTATCGTGTATACAGAGACGAAGAGCGATGGTTGCACGGTGCATAAAGGTACATGTAAATAGAAAAAAAATTATAATAAATTCAGAGACAAAAGAAAGTGGTAAAAACAGCACCTAGACATGAACGACTGATGCTTCTATAATTAGATTATATGGATGGTGAGGTTTTGCTCTCAGTCAGCATAGGCAAGTGTGTGCAAGCGAATCAGAATATTATTATATCAAGGGTTAAATCAGGAGAACTTTGCTTGGAATCGCTTGAAAAACCCAGGTTCTCAGAAGGGAGACTAAAACTGACACTTTATCATAATAACAATATGTCGCTCAAGGGCATTGAGATAAAGCTCAAGGGCATTTAGATAAAACATTTAGATCCATCGCTTCCAGCTGTTACATCCATCGCTTCCAGCTGGGCCTGGAGATATTGGTTTTCATTTTAAGACGGACATTTTGTTTTAAGTAATCATCAAATCATCAAATCATCAAATCACCGGGGGTCACATTTTGTCATTTATAGCCGGGTCGACCTGCGGGTCAGGTTGTCATTGCTCGAGGGCCGGCTTTGGTGTTCTCGTCGTAATTTGCTCATCATCATCATCATCATCATCATCATCATCATCATCATCATCATCATCATCATCATCATCATCCGGTGCCTTGCCGACTGGCGTAGGCGATCATGGACCTCCACTTCACTCTGTCTTGCGTAGCAGCGATGGTGTCTGTCGTTCTTGCTGTTCCCAGCCATCTTGTCAACCTGTCCAGTATCTTTTTCTTCTGTCTGCCTCTGCCTCTCTTTCCATCAAACTTGCCTGTTGTTACAATATTCTCCTATGCTTCTTTCCCCATTGTGTGTCCAATGAACTTTGCCGGTGGCGTTCGTATATTCTTCGTATATATATATACACAGTCGTCTGCAATTTGCTTCAACCAAGACTTCTTCATTTGGTTTTCTTGCTGTCCATGGAACACGCAGCATGCGTCTTATGAACCTTATACATTTGCTCATGCCTGCTGTTTAATATTGTGCCATGCAATGTCGATGGCATTGTATTTAAGTGGTTGATTCACGAGCAAGTTACCACGCTAATCTTAGTTTAGTAAACACAGAGCCGCATTGTGGTAATCATCATTGATACTTCTGGGATGTCTGAGTAGCGATATAGTGTATCATTAAGTTCCTTATACATAATTCAAACTAAAAAGCATTGTACTTGTAGTTGAAGCCGAGTAGCTCTACAGAAAACACACTAAAAACACCCCCTCCCAATCGAGTGTGTGGGTCGTTTAAGACAATGGTTGCTTCCATTGGATCTGCAAGAGCAAAAGCTAGAGAGGGGGAAAACAAATCAAGAAACAAAATTTGAGAAAAAAAAAAGAATAAAGATTGAAAGCAAGGGACAGAATATAATAATAATAATAATAATTGATAGATAGCATCTGCATATCGCCAAATCCCCCTTAACAGCAAAGTAAAATGCACTTTACAATTTATACTATTACGCCACCAGACCTGATAGCATTCTGAAACGATCACAACTGTCTTGGAAGCATATAATACAGTGCAAGCTGCCATTTATAGGCCGTAAAACACTAACATACTGACAAGATCTTTCGCTGGCTATAGCTGGATACCCATTCCCACCTGTGTGAAATGAGGAAATAGTTGTGAAGTGAAACAAGGAAACAAACAAACAAACAAACGAACAAATTAACAAAGAAAAAAGGAGGAAATTATAATGTAACGGGGCAGGGGCTGTTTAAAGAAGATTGAATTAAGATTTTGCCCCATTAGTTTTGAAATGAGAACATGTATCTGATTCATAAATATTGTCCTTTGCCATTACCAGGGCTCTGGGGGTCACGGCACAGAGGGTCACGGGGAAGCTGGGGGTCACGGAGGTCACGCCGAAACTGGTCACGGTGCCAGCGGTGGAGGTCATGGACACAATCATGGAGCAGGTCACGGTACCAGCGGAGGTCACGGAGACGGGGGTCAAGGGGGTCATGGGAGTCAGGATGGGGGTGATGACAAAGGGGCCGCTTCGGTGAGTAGACTCACTCTTGTTTGTTTGTTAGTTTGTTTGTTTGTTTGTGTATTGTTTGTTTGCATAGTCGTTTGTTTATGTAATTTGTTAGTTTGTGTATTCGTTTGTTTGCTTGTTTATTTGTTTGTTTGTTTGTTTGTTTGTTTAAGTAAAGAGAAGCACATCGACAATAGAATTTTCATTTAGAGTTGGGAAAATGTAAGACAGACAGAAACAACAGAGGGAACGTAATTACCTAGGGCCTACCAGTGGCTCCCTTCAACAACCCGCGCTCCTTTTTTAAAAACTATCTATCTATCTATCTATCTATCTATCTATCTATCTATCTATCTATCTATCTACATGTAATATGTAACACGTATGCGCAAGTTACACAATAAAATATCATGTAGCTTGCGCATAATCATATTTTATACGTGTAAATATTTTAAACGTATAATAATTGATAATGTCATTCATAATCTGTTTCCAGTTGACGCTGCAGACGTGTGCTGTTCTGCTACCCGCCATGCTCAGTGTGTTCTACACCAGGAACTAACTGCACAGTTCGTCCGCCATCTTGAATCTGTGCATCTATTTAAGAGCCGCCATGTTTGGTGGGTTTGTGCTGATGGACTCAAAGCAAAAGGGAGGGAACAATTTGACATATTACCAGGAACACAAGAAGAATCTGTTACAAATACGAACGTGACCTGATATTTATGCAAATTCTTTCTTTACAACTGAGATTAGACGAACATAAAGCATACGATTTTTAATTAAGACTGATAGATATCATTATTTTGTATAGCGCATATTCCCTCTCAACATCGAGCTCTTTCAACCTGTATTGTCTATTTAACTTGTTACGAAAGATGAGAGCTTTGAAATTGAAATATTATTACATTTGTTATTTGATTTATAAGAGGTATGCTTCTCTATATATAGTATCAATATCCTTTCTTTCAACATCAATATGTAGCGTGTCCAATAACTCAGGAGAAGTTATGTTATTATGAATGTGCTCGTTGAAAAGTACATCTCACTGTCGTCTACATGTGACTCGCGATACACGCACTCGCAGTACGGTAAGTGAAAAGTTGAGGTATTTTTCCTCTGTTTCAATCAACAAGTTACAGATACGTGGATTTGGTTTCATTGAGCATATCAAAGCGCTTCCCTGTTAAAATCTGCCTTCAGTTATTAGAATCCATCAACCTGCCATGCCCCATTCTTCGTATCCTTTTCAGCCTTTCTCGTTTTGTATTAAAGAGTTTATTTTTCAAAAATTCATTTATTACATTTTTTATATATAAAAAAAGAAAATGAGTTTTCTCTCCTCACAATGAAGCTTCATCCAAATCTATTATAACGTTTCCGCTTGATTGTTTTTATATTTTTATTTCTATCGCGATAAACACCTCCTCCTACAAAACATGAGTGGGTCTATTTCAAATCTTACCACCAAAACAACTTCATCTTCCTCAAGACTAACTGGAAAATAATATCATGATCGCTGACAAGTGTGTATGTTTGTTTTTTGCTTGCAGTTCGAGAAAAAGACTGCTTTGTGATACTTTATCGCGTTGACTCTGCATGCTTCTATCATATTAATCATGATCATGATCAGCATCATTTCTCATAGGGGCCAACGAAACGTCAATGCCTATGACTTTGTGACGTTTTTTTGTCGTAACTTTGTTTTACATGTCGTGTAGCTTTGTTTCTTTCTCCCCCTCCCCC